GTAAGCCAGTTATCTCACAACCTTCACCACCTTGTGGCAGGTACTAATGGCTGAGAATGCCATTGGGGATCAGCCCAGCACTGGAGATCTTCCAAACTAACTCAACCTCTGGAGGGCTTACCTGGCACTTATATAATTGCAGATGATATACTGATTACAGGTTAAGGTTATACAGTGGACAGTGTGACCAAAGAGAAGATAAGAAACAAATTGTTCAAGCCAAGACTATTTCAAACTGAGGCAACAGGAAGACACCTGTCAACTGCTGAAGGACTGAAAGGAATTTATTATACATTATATTGGAAACTATTTTAGCATATAGCAGCTCTGTCAATAGGGACTTGGCTTGGGAACCGGTGGGTTGCCAGTTCAAGTCCAGCCCTGACCAAAGTATGTAGTGTCAGCTGGTAACTGGAGAGGAGCCAGTTCCACCATGTGGGAACTGTTGGGGTGCCCTTAAGCAAGGCACCAAACCCCTAATTGCTCTCAAGGTGCCGCTACGTGGCAACCCATCACTCCACCATCCTTCCACATCTGCATGTCTATAAGCCCTGTAAGTGCATAATTGTATTTCGGACCTATGTGTGAGTAAAAAATAATTTCTTCTTGGGGATTAATAAAGTTAATCTTCTTCTTATATTTGATTCCCCATCACACATTTCTTTTGTCTTTGTTGTAATGTTTATCTGCATTTTATGCAGTCAGTGAATTACTTTTGGCAAAGCTAAATATAAAAAAAAAAAAATGGAATATTGCTGAATTCACCTTCGGGTGGTGGACATGTCTTGGATTGACATAGTAGGATTTGCACCAGAACAGGTATCCTATTGATCAGTGAAAAAACACTTTATAGCAAATGTCAGTGATTACAACAAAGAATCCATAGAAAGGATACTAAGCATAAACCAAAATTCGACACTGTATTTCACCATAATGAAAGGCATTTAAGAGTGACCTCATTTCACTTAAAGTCACTCCCTGTGTTGTGGCAAATTTGCAATAATTTTGCAATGAGCAATTAGTGCTAGCACACACCAGGAGTTTTATAATTAAAGTAAATACTGTATACTGTCCGACGTTAAATCATAGGTTCTGGTGCCTGTGGAGGGGCTGCCCAAACGTGATGCAAGCAAATCTTCTTGGGTGGCCTCCAACCTCCTGAGGGTAAAATGATGATTAGTTCTACAATTCTACACTTTAAAAAACAGTTTGTGAGGTAATAATAAGATCCAACTGAAGCCAACTAGGTGAGGAAGTTTAGTGAACTTTTTGGTATTATGTTTGGGGAAATGATATGTGATAAAATGATAAAAAAAAAAAAAGAATATGGAGTTTCATCCATCATTCTATGTTAATGGCCTGGCACATGTGAAAGTACACAGACTTGATTAAATTGAATTGAAATACATGTTTAATTTGTGCAATTCCACCCTTTTCCTACCATTTTTCCAGGTCGTTTTTTAAAGTGTATTGCTTCAAATCTGCATTGAATAATTACATAGTGTTGACACAGATCTCAACAAATAAATACAATTGAAATATAAATATGTTAATCATTTGTTTTAAACCAAATGCATTACCAAATTCTTGTTAGTGTCTCTAATTTCCTTCCTTGCAAAAATTACAATTTGACCATGTAATGTGTTCCCAAAATAAGAGCTTGATAAAATTTCAGCTTACAACATACAGACACATGGACGAATGAGTTTACATTATTTTGTTACA